GAAGTTCCAACACTGCAGTAAAATTGTCTTTACATATGCCTTGCAAAAGGACTTGGAGAGCTTCCCACTTATTTTCTATGTTCTAAACATCTTTTATAAGGTAGGAGTTATTAGTTCCCTGAGAGCTTGATGCCACTTACTCTCAAAACATCTGTGTCTATTTAATTTTAAGAGGTAGATATTTTATTATGGTTTAATGGATCCCATAGTTGTTGGGGTTTTTTTTTTTTTTTTATTTAAGTTTTATATCAATATTTAGAGATAATTTTGTGAATTTAGCACAGGGCTATAAATGTTTTTATAAATTGTATTTGCCTGGGTAAAACCTTTTCTTATTTTTCTAAAAAAAAATTCTAATTTTAATTGAATTTATTTAAACCAAAAAAATTTATATTGAACTTAGTATATCTGTATACATGTATACATATACACATATATAAATATGTATTAAATGTTAATTTTTAGATAGTCATGTATTCAGCTACTTATGATTATTGATCTCTAGGTGTATTGCATGATAGCTATTGAAAGTGGCTAACATAATAAGTAACTTCAAAGTATTATTTTGTTCTTCTTTGTTGTGGTTTTGTACATGACCATTTTTGTGTGTTTCATTTGCTTAAAAATTATTTAATATGTTTTATGGGGTAAGAATTTTATTATACATTTATTAGATAGGGCTTTTGTGTTATAGTATTTAAATCTTTTCTAATCTTTGTTTTTTGCCGAATTGCTCTGTATATTCTGAGGCTGTGTATGTAATTATCCTGTATTGACTGTTCACTATTGCTTCTTTCATTTCTCTTCTTATTCTTGGGTTCATATTTTGTCTTGCCAGAATGAATCCTCTGATAACATTTTTCTCATTGTGGAGAAATATATATGTTGATATAACATAAATGACATTTTAAGCCTTTTAAATGGCATGATTTGGTAGCATTAATTAAATTTACAATGTTGTGCAACCACAACTATCCATTATCTATCACTAATAACATTTTTAGGTAAAACCTGTGGGGGATAACTTTCAGAATCCTTGCATGTCTGAAATGCCTTAATGTTACCAAGTTTACAATTGCTATGGATAGGTTTATTTGTTTGTTTGTTTGTTTGTTTGTTTGTTTATTTATTTATTTACTAAGGATACATTTTAAAATATTTTTCTTCAAATATTTGATTTGATTGCTCTATTGACTTCATACTGAGAATATTGTGGGTGAGAATTTGTCTTAGTTCAAGTTGCCACAACAAAATATAAGTAGGGTGACTTAACAACATAATTTTATTTCACAGTTCAGGAGTCTGGACATCTGAGATGAGTCAGCCTATAGATAGTGATGCTATAGGCTAGAAATGGGGGCACTCACTGACCTATACTATTTGTGGCAAGCCCCCACAGACATTTTCCCAATGTTGTGGCTGGATCAGCCCTTTTGGTGTTTATTATGATTGCAAGATAAACCTCAGCAACAGTTATCAGGGTGCTTTGGGGAAAAAAAAGAGATTTATTACAGACAGGTCCTGGAGGCTACTTGGCAGGTCCAGCATCACACAGGGAGACTGCGGGAAGAGTGAGAGAGTGTGGACCCTTGGTTCTGCCCTTATTGGGGTTAAGGGTGGAGTGCCTAGGGCTTCATGGGTTTACTTTGAATTGGTGAAGTTAAAATACTGCAGTGAGAATTAAAGATGCTAAAGGGAAAAGCAGGGCCCTACAAAAGGTAAGTTATCTAGTCAAGCAGGGCTTTCTGAAAGGGGAACTTCATGGGTAGGACACCCAGGCACTTTAGTTGTATAATGTGCAATATATTTATTCAAGTGAGATGGTATCTTTGAAATGGATGGCTCTGCAATCAAAAGGGTAAATTCAGACACTTACACTATAATAAGAAAGCTAATTATCAGCATTTACATTGCATATTCTTATAGGGATACAAATTTCATCATGGGTCCCCATCCTGATGATTTCATATAAACTTAACTATCACCTAAAGGCCTCATCTCTAAATGCCATCACAACAGGGTTTGAAGGGGGCACAACCATTTAGTTAATAACAGTGATGGGGTAGCTAACTCATTCACTTGTGGGGGTTTTTCACCTACTCTTCTTCTTGTGATAGTAAGGAATTGCAATCTCACCCCACCATTCCTTTGACATTGTTTCTCTAAGTGCTTATTCTGACTAATATATAGCTTATGGATAAATGGCATGTTTGCACAAGAATCCTAGAAACTAACTTCAGAAGATTCAGAATCCAACCTTCAGTCACCCCAGTTTTGGGAAATTTGCTGACCTTCAACCATAGAACTAGGATGATATAGAACCAGGGAGACAAAGACCAGGATGATGTACATCAAGCTATCACTTGACCAGTTTCCAGATCCTTGTCTGAATGAACTGTGCTGGTTGGGGAGAGGATATATCCAACAAAATGATGAAAGATAACTTCTCAAACTGATGAAAGACATGAGTTGCCCTGCAACTGGAACCCAAGTTTGGCTGTCTGCTGCTACAAAACCAAACTTAAGAGATAGAGGCACTCTTGTCACAAAGCCCATCTCAATATCTCAGTGCAAGCAGAAGTTTTTTATAAAGAGAGAAAGAGAAAAACAAAAAAGAAATTAAGGGGAGGAGATTAAAAAGTTCTCAACATGAAAATCAGCACAGTCCATTCCAATAAGTATCTCGAAACTGGTCAAGTGGATGGCTTGGTATATCTCATGCTGGTCTTTATCATACTGGTTCTATTTCATCCTTGTTCTATGGTTGAAGTTCACCAAACCTCCCAGAATTGGGATGACTGAAGGTCAGAGTCTGTATCTTCTGAAATTCATAGGATTCTTCTACAAAAATGCTATCTACACTAATAAAAGAGAAATATGCAAATTAACCATATTCCCATGATGCCCACCAGCCAATCAGGAGTGAGTATGCAAATTAGCCCAACAACCGTGCTGGTTAATTTGCATATGCAGGCACTGTGTGAAGACTGAAGGCTCTGGCCCAAGTGAAGACTGAAGACTGAAGACTGAAAATGACAGAAGACTGAAGACTGAAGAGGCTTGGCTTCTCTGCTATGGCTGGAGTAAAGGCCTGGGTCCCAGGTGCCAGAGAAAAACCAGTGCCAGCAGCCAGGCAAAGGAAGGCTTATTGCACAAATCTTCATGCAATGGGCCTCTAGTTCATCTGCAAGCTACTTATTAGTCATAGTCCATACTTAGAGAAACAATGTTAAAGGAATGGTGGGGTGGGTTACAATTTCCCAATTACACTATGCTATATTTTCACTATTTGTGTTTACTTACTTACTAAAATGTTCTTACATTGACTAGTATTGAGGTTCTTTTTGTTTTTTTTTACTTTTCCAAGTGTGATTTTTCCTAAAATGATTGGCAATCCCTGGTTATATGTTCATCTTTGTACCTGAAGTTCCCTGTCGCATCAAATACCAAATCTTTCTCCTTGCTCAGAGAAGATTTGAGAGTAAGGGTATATGTGTAGGGCTGCTCATTTTTTTGGTACTTACAGTCTTTACAAAAAAAAAAAAAGTTCTGTATAGAATGTGACTGTTGGCAAGTTTTACCTGCTCATCTGCTGGGTATGAATGCCCCTCTTTTTTACTGGCAATCACCAGCCACTCATACAGTACCCTGATTCCTCTCCTCCTCCCCCCCCGCCCTCACCTACTGTCCACATTAGAGGTACACAGACAATTATCATGTACAAGGAGCCCAAGATGACATCAGTGGGTATTGAGAGGTGTTTTAAGGGTGTGAATCCACTTTCTATGCAGCCCCAACTAATCACCTTATAAATTACACTTGGACTTATTTTTCTAACTGGCACCCATCTTTTAGAATAGAACTTTCTTTTTTTTTTCTGGTACTATTTTTCATCAATACTTTCTTAAGTACATTTGAGATGAGGTTTTCTTATTTAGTTCTGACCCTGCCTGCCTTCTGCCTTTAGGGATTTTCTAAAGTTTTCTCATCCCCAAGGATTTCTCTTGTTGTTTTTCTAAGGTGATTACTTTTTTTATTTTTTAAGCCACTACTTCATTAGATCTAGGAACTTCAGAGAAGATGGGAAATTACAGTTCATGCTCTGTCAAACATTATATTTAAGCCCTTGTGAGCCAGTAAAAAATTTGCTAGCTTTAGCTATATATCCAAGTTTACATAATCAGTCTTCAGTAATCAACATTTAGAATTTTAGTATACTATAAACATCATACATCTTTGTTGTATCAGAATTATGGGAATAAACACTGGATAATAACAATAAAAACTGGATGCTAATGCACTATAAAATTCTACAAATTCTAGAGTCTTCATGATTTCTGGTTTGCTATTTTATTTCTTCCTGGGAGGCAATTCTAAGAAAAGTATAAGCTACAAGTGAACTTTATACTCTTTAATAAAAATCTGCAGAGAGTTTATTTTAGAAAATTAAACAGAGAACTGAATAGTATTAATTCTGGACCAACAAAATCTATTGCTTTTCTAAATTAATATTGAAAACAAAATAGAATAGAATGAAAGGAAATTTGATCACATTATATTGAGGATCCCAGAGTTAGCTATGCTGTAAATATTTATTCCTTACATTGCGAGTTCACTAACAATAATAAAAACCTTGCCAATAATCAGGAACTTCAGAAATTAAGACAAAAAACAACATAGCCTTTGACTGAGGTAAAAACAAAGCAAAACAAAACAAAACAGAAACACCCACAATTGCTGTGAATTTGAGATACACAACAACTAAAAGAATAAGACCACTTGTTTATATTTCTCTTGCACACAAGATGCCCCAACCACACACACACACACACACACACACACACACACACACACACACTTCCAAAGTCTCATTCAACTAAGGCATCAAGCCAAATGAAAATCTCACTATTTTACCTCCAAAGAAAAATTTCAATAGCATTTACTTTTTCCTAAGCAAATTACCCAAGAACTGTAATTAAAAGGAACTATTTTATTATTCCAGCAGAATATGAAGGTCAAGACTTCACACACAGATATACAAGTGCTAAAAGTAAAGCCTCTTTTGCAACCTATTGTAGAACTCATTGTACAGTATGAGTTTTGATACATATAAGAAGGAACATTAAAAAAAAAAAAGATTTCACACACAGGGCAGAGAATGGTTTTTCTCCTCCCTGCAATGTCTGGGACCTCTACTGGGAAGACACATAGGTTGGGGTCTTTAAACCAATATGAAGGCTCCTGTGTCCACCTGCTTGGGGCCTGAGATGGGTGAGCAGAAAGGGTAGGCTCAGCTGGGGCAGCTGACAGGAGCCCCTGGATGTCACATCTCCGTCTGGATTGGCTTCTTCACAAAAAAATTGGCTCTAGGATAGTCAGATGTCCTCCCTGGGAACCCAGGGTTCTAAGTATGAGTGCTTTGGTGACATCCCACCTTCCAGTGCCCACCCTAAGAGGACTCACTGCATGTCTTCTGATCCAGATGTAAGAGGGTATAGCCTCACCTCTAAGTAAGAACAGTTTCAAAGTACTGGAGACTCCTATTTTTAAAAGGCTAAAAAAATGGTTGTGGTAAGGACCATTTCTTTTACAGAGGATTCTGTTACTACCTCCTGGAGATGCCTTCCGCAATATAATGATGCATTATATCATGTCTAAATGTGCCAAGATTGGCTTTCAGGTTCTGCAACTGGAGAAAACTTCATCACCAGAAGCAATTTGTCTGGAATATTACAGGTCTTTTTCTTTGATGTCTTTTCCCTGGTCTATCACATCTATGACTGTGCATTCTGGAAGCAAGTCCCCAGACTGGGGAGACATGGAAAACTGCTCAGGTCACTTGAAAGCACAGACATTTCATCAGTGCTCCCAAGAAGTATATTGGCTAGTGGAATAATCTGTCTCAATCCCTTATGTAATCTCCAAATAGTCTCTTCAAGGAGGAAGGAGAAATTCCATTGTTCCCATTTTGTATTGAATGTCTGCCTGGCTGGTAAATGCAGGGCAATGCTTGAGCAAAAGAGACCTTTGGATTATTGTCCTGTAGGCACCTGGCTTTTGGAACATGGATAATTAAAATCTGAAATTATGTTATGTATGTTTTAAATGTGAATATAGTTACTTACTATAGTAATTAAATATCATAACACAGGCATTTCTGTGGTAATTAAAGGCCAATAGCTACTAAGATGATCTTCTCTCTTGGAATTTCCAGCATTAGTGCCTAGCCTCTTTCCATGCCTTCATCTGTAATAGAAATCTTGGTTCCTAGCACCAGCGTGCCCTGAAATACAGCGTAACTATTTTAGACCTATTCTTTCCTAGTTAGACCACTTATCTAACTTGCTCAGTTGGCTGCATGTTGCCTCCTGGTACATAGAGATTCAGACAACCTGAATCCCTCTGGCTTCTGTGAATGAGCAAAGATCAGAATAATAAATATTGAAGGACTTTCAGAATTGATAAATAAAAAGACACAGCTATTTGCCCAAAGCCCATGAAGGGCAATCTTCTTATGAGATTTATTAGTTTATTTTCAGCATGAAAAAGAGTTACCATAGAAACCCATTATGATGGTATATATTCTCATTTTCTGTGGAAATGTAGATTAGAGTCACCTTTAAAAGGTGAACCTCAGGCTTTTGTAAGAGCTGTACACATTTCATTTTCCATACTCTGGTACAACATATTTAAAGTAAATGTATGTATCTCCCTTTTGTTTTGTGTGATTTCAATAAAATAAGATAATAAAATGCTACTGCAAAAATAATATATTAGATTATTCAGGGAGAGAGGCATATTATAAAAATATATCAATGATATATATTATGAAATATACCATAGTATAATACATCATTAATCCTAAAGGTGGGAGATTTTACAAATCTCACTTCAACTACATTAACTCTCTTAGGAGACATAAGTTACCCCCATATTTCAATGCATTTAATCAAAAATAGCATAGATATTATACTTTTAATAAGCCTCATATTAAATATACATCATTTTATAAACATTACTGTTGTTAGGGTATAAAGCAATGAAAATGAGTAAACTTGAAGAGCTCCATACATTAAAACTAGAGGAGAGCAAGTATATTAGAAAAGATGCAGTTTGTACAAATCATTATAAAATTAGAAATATCTGAATTCCTAATCTTGCTAAGAAATCTAAGCGGCAAGTGGACAGTTCCAGAGGCCATAAATCATGGCTGTTTCTCAAAAATGATCTCAGTTTTTATACTCTGATACCATCCTGCCTGTCCTTTTCTAGGTTACTCGTCTGACTGATTCTGGGAAAAGACTGTTCCATATGCCTTAGACATAGATTGTTTTGAGGTTTCAGTGAAAACTAAGTGCCAAAAATTGAGGGGTTTTTTTGCCAAACACTGGTGAGGCAGGACAGACAAACTCACATCTCAGCTTTCTCTCTGTGGTGACCACAAGTCTAACCTCGCACACAGATGGTATTTCTAAAAATTATGTTGGGACAGGCAAACCTGACAACCTCCATCCACATGCTACACACAAGCTTTGTGCTCATTTGTTTAGCAGTCTGTGGTTTCTCCCAACTTAGAAAGAAATCTATGTGCTCTATTCTTCCTCTCAAGTTGTCTGAAGAGGGTTTTATTCCTGTGTCAGGCCTCAATGTGTATTTCTTTCATCCTTTGGCATTACCCACAGTAACATTTTAAAAGAAATGCTTTGAAACAAACTGATAATACAAAGTTCAAGAGGAGCTAAGTGCCTTCCCAATACATCTATAATTTTGCTTCTCTCTAAATGTAGAAACCCTGGCTTATAGACAGAGTTAACCTTGAGGAGTCTCAAATCATTTTATAGCCCCAATTAAATGTTCCATTCCCATTATCAGCAGACTGTGCTTTTATGCTCTGCACACACGGCATTGGAAATAAAACTCAGAGAGAACAGAGTACATAGTTTATCAGTTCTTATTGGTCAACCATTTTCTAAAATTCATCCTTCAAATGACTCACCACTGTAAACATTCACCTCAAACTCTTATTTCATTGTAAACATTTAGAATAGAAAGAAAACCTGAAGAGCCTACTTAGTGGGAAATTTAGAGTTATATATCTGAAAACATAAAATAATAATTGTTTCCTAAATGGATAGACATGTAACTGGATAAAGAATGAACCAGAAAGACAATTAAGCATATTTTGATTCACTACTCCATTACAAAGAGTAGTAAACTATAAGACGACTGAAAAGAAGATAGATCCAGCCTCAAAATCAAGATAAAAAACTTGAGGATTAAGATTCAAAATTGATATCAGGACTGGACATAACAACAACATGGATGGGGACCAGGATTTTCAACCCTCTGATGTATTGAAGAGGAAGAAAAATACTTCTCAAGAAAGGGGATTGGACCAAAAGACAAAATTTGGAGGAAAGACTGGAACAGGTTTTCTGCTTAATATAGTCTGCAGCTCTCACCTAGAGTAGCTTCTGATTGAAGGAGGTGGTAGAAAAGAGCTAGAACTTGGAGAATGAGGTCTTCACTGAGACCTTCCGTCCATCAGTAATTCTCCCCAAAATGGGAGAATTTAAGATAGAAATGAACATTCTCCAGAGACTAGAACCTATAGGAGCAAAGAGATTTCGAAGAATTGACTTATGTGATCATGGCAAACCCAACATTTGTAGAACTGAACAGAAAGCTGGAGACTCTTAGGAAATAAAAGGTTTAGTATATGGTTTCAGGATTCCACTGGGGCTCAGAGAATATGTCCCTGGATAGGGGGAAGTACTGTACTTCTGCTCATCTAAAGAAACTTAAAGCAAATTGCAGAAAATTGCAAAACCATACTTATATTGTGATATAGTTTCATACAATTACAACATGCAAATCTATGCAATATAACATATATATGTATGTATGTGTATATATATATATATATATATATATATATATATATATATCACATTTTCATCATTCATTCCATAAATATTATCTGCATTCCCAGTCCATCACTGACTCCTATGTAATGCTGTTCTAATTTTTTCCTCATAATTCAGAAATGCATGTACAGTGTATATATTCTGAAGTTCAATAATATTGTTCCATAGATCAATAGCTTCTTCCCTTTTATTTCTGGGTAGTATTCATTGTATGAATATCCAAATTTTGTTTATTTAGTCTCCTGTTAGTGGATATTTGGGTTGTTTCCAATTTGGGGCTAATATGAAAATAGCTACTAGGAACATGTTGAACTTTATAAGAAATTCCCAGACCAACTTTCAGAATATATATATATACATACACACATATATACTGTAAATATTGGTTGTGAGATAAAGAAATATAAAAGATGACTTCAAAGTTTTAGCTATTACTTAGTGGAAATATGAATTTGCCATTTACTTACTTGTAGAGTATTTAGGCAAGGGATATTTGGAATTTAGCTTTCAAAAGGTTAACTTGTAATTCTTAAAAGATACCTGAGTGGAAATCTGATGTGTCTATTGTTCAAAGGAGAGGTCAGGGTTCAAGTTACAGAGCCTTCATCACAGAGATTTACAAATTAATTTATTAAAAGACAAATGTATTTATTAAAAAAACAACAAAAAAAAATTCTACCATAGCTTATTTGAATCAGTGATTAGAAGGGTCCCAGGATCAATTCCAGTCAAGGGCATGTACCTCGGTTGCAGGCTCGATTCCTAGCCCTTGTCAGGGTCATTCTGGGAGGAAATTAATGGTGTGTTTTTCTCAAATCGTTATCTCTCTCTCTTTATCTCTCCTCCTCCCTACGATTCTCTCTAAAAGTCAGTGAAAAACAAATATCCTCAGGTTAAAATTAAAAGAGAGTTCCAAGCTCTAGTATATAGTACACAAGGGCTATATCAGTAAAACACAAACAAAACAAAACAAAACCCCTGCTTTTATAGAACATATATCATTGGAGGCCTAGGAAACTAAGTTAAATGAGAAAAGTTAAGAGAATGTACAGACAGGGTTTCAAGGATGGAGCCCTAAGACAATGAGAGGTTTAGGAGATGTGAAAGAATAGCCAAGGGTCTATAAGAAGAAATGTCCTAAAATACAATAGAAAATGTGGGAATGCTTTGTGCTCTAAAGCCAAGTATGGTCAGTGG